TGTGTGTGTGTGTGTGTGTGTGTGTGTGTGTGTGTGTGTGTGTGTGTGTGTGTGTGTGTGTGTGCGTGTCTGCGTCCCTGTCTCTCACTCTCTCTCACAACAGAGGAGGATCACGTCTTCGGCAGCTCCTTGTGGTGAAGTTTTCGGGTAGACCGTTCGGCGTGTGTGTTGCAACCTCGCACGTGGTGTCACTTGTACAAAATTGCCGGTAATGAGAAGCATGCTGCTGCGTTCAACAACAAAGTGCAACATGTTTCGAAAAGATTCTCGGTCAGAGGTAGTGAGCAGCTAATCATCCAGGATGTAGATATGTGATCTTTGTGATCAAAGCACGCGCTGAAACAAACGAAAATAGGAAGCAAAGTGAAAGCAGAGAGGAGTCAGAACGTGAAAAGTGGATGTAACCTCAAATCGATTGGCCAATCAATCAATCAACTAACCAATCAATCAATCAGTCAATCAATCAATCAAATGCATTAATGTCACTCCCCGTTGTTTCGATGGATCGCCGCTGACCACCCATCACCTGCTCCTCCTTTTCCTCCTCTTTCTTTTCCACCTCCTCCTCGCGGCTTCATCATCTCGCACCTTCTCTTTCTCCTCGTCTTCGTCCTCCTCGTTACTGCTCTCACTTGTGTGACACGTGGTGCACCCGGGCATTTATTTTCCTTTTTTTTGGCCGTTATGTTCTCCTCCTACTTCCCTCTTTCTCCTCGTATTCCTCCTCCTCCTCCTCCTGTCTCCTTTTCCTCTCTTGCATCCTTGATCTTATCTCGATCCCTGGTTTCCCACCTCTTTCTGCTCCCGCTTTTCCCGATCCCGACCTCCCTCTATCCCGATCCTGCTCCCCGGTCTGGCACCTTTTCTCCTCCCGCCTTCCCCGATCCCGAACTCCCTCTATCCCAATCCCACTTCTTGCTCATCTCGATGTCTACTCCGATGCCACTTCCCTCTAGCCCTGCCTCAATCCTCCCACCTTCCCCGATCCCGATCTCCCTCTGTTTCTGTTCCCGTCTCCCCAATCCCAACCTCCCTCTGCTGCAATCCCACTTCTTGCTCATCTCGATCTGCCCCAGCCTCGATCCACTTCCCCCGATCCCGATGTCCCTCTATCCCGATCCTGCTCCCCGGGCCTTGATCCTCCCACCATCCCCGATCCCGATCTCTCCCTATCCCGAACCTGCTCCCCGGTCTGGCACCTCTTTCAGCTCCCGCCTTCCCCGATCCCGATCTCCCTCTATCCCGATCCTGCTCCCTGGGCCTCGATCCTCCGACCTTCCCCGATCCCGATCTCCCCCTATCTTGATCCTGCTGAGCGGTGTGGCACCTCTTTCTGATCCCGGATTCCAACCTCCCTCTATCACGATCCTGCTTCTCCCTCATCTGGATGAGTGTAGCCCTTGCATCCCTCCTCTACCTCCTTCCTTCTCTTCTTTAAGATTATTAGGGGCTCTTCGTCGAACCCTTCATGACCATCACCACTTCCCTGCCCCTCCCCTGTCTTGTCCACGATCATCATCAGCATGATCACGATCACCGTGCACCCCCCCTCCGCTTCCCGTACCCTGTCACATGCTAGGAAGGGTGAGAGATGATCAGACGGCCACAAAAAAAACAAAAGACGTACCGCGGGGAGATACGGGAAACAGGGAGATTAGACAGATAGACACACACACACACACACACACACAAACACACAGAGAGAGAGAGAGAGAGAGAGAGAGAGAGAGAGAGAGAGAGAGAGAGAGAGAGAGAGANAGAGAGAGAGAGAGAGAGAGAGAGAGAGAGAGAGAGAGAGAGAGAGAGAGAGAGAGAGAGAGACGTCACAAAACAGTAAGCAGCACGATGATAGGACCACGTATGCACGCGGGTATATATGCAAGATTGAGAGACAAAGAAAAGAGAGAGAGAGAGAGCAAAGAATGCACATAACTTGGTCCATCATGACATCCGCTGTTGCTTCGTTTTCCGTTGTGCTCACAGCCAGTCGTCTCGATCCATGTGTCTTTCCCTACTGCTCACGGCTCCTCTCTCTCCGTCACCCCCGCCACTCATTCTGCGCCGTCTGCACACGGATACACATTGCTCTCTCTCTCTCTCTCTCTCTCTCTCTCTCTCTCTCTCTCTCTCTCTCTCTCTCTCTCTCTGTGTCTCTCCTGGCTCGCCCGCCCGCCCGTTCTGCACACCCCGCTGGTACGCTCCCTTAACGCCCGCCTACCATCAGACGGGTCACCATTGGTCCAGCGCTGCCCGCTCACAGCCCGCTTAACGTCGTGCTAGCTTGCTTCTCCCGTAGCGGTCTGACAACCCGCTTACCCATTCCCTGCCGGCCCGTTGTCGACCACCGGTGGGGTCTTTTCGCTCCTTGCTCTCGCATGGGCGGGCTGGTTGACGCTTTTCCTCTGTGGGAACCTTTGGGCCCGCCAAAGGCTTTTCCCAAGTGCGGCAGCCGTGTCTCACATGGGATACTCATGCGACACCCGCTGTTTGCTTTAGGAGTATTGGGGAAAAAAAAAGGTCTTTGACATGGTTCCCCTCCACACCAAACCACTTTGCTCAACTTTCTCCAGTTCTCTGGGCCACAACTACCCAACGTTCTCTCCTCCTCTGTCACAAGTTCACAACGACCTGAGATTCTCTATCGTTGTCACAGCTACCCAGCTCTCTCTCTCTCTCTCTCTCTCTCTCTCTCTCTCTCTCTCTCTCTCTCTCTCTCGGACCCACTATTTCTAGGAGACGAGACCTGAAGATGAAAAACAGAAAGAAATTTATTATTAAAACAAAAAACAACTTCCCTTTCGATTTTCGACAGCACATATTGATCTAAGGGAAACACATAGTTGGGAAGTTTTGGACAAACGCACTGGATCCATTATGAAAGTAAGTGAGTGAGGTGTTGTTGAAGTAGTTGATTGAGCAATTCCGAAAAAATATGCTTTCCCATTTACCATAACCAGGTTCATCTCGGGAAAAAAAAAGAAGAAAAAAAAAAACAATAACGAGAACTCGAACAAGCATATTGGGTAGCTTGCAAGCTATCTCAATTTTGTTTCCGTGAAGAGCACGTGCTGTTTCACAATCAGGTCATACTTTCGAAACTGAAGTTTGTCAGGCAACTTCCTCGGATTCTTCCGCTTGACATAGAAGAAGCCAGTTCCTGCCGCCGACAAAAGCTTCACAAGAATAGCACCACTTTTACCCTTCGCCATTGCTCGAGTGATCAATCAATCAATCACTTCCAAACCCTGCCAGAGACCAATCGATCAACAGATCTCAGACCCTGCCACAGACTGCACACCATCAACACGTGTTGCCACATGTGAAAAGCTGATAGCTCTCAGAAATAAAAGCTAACCCCCCTACTACCCAATTCACTAGACTTAGGAGGTCTATTCATAGTGCTCATTTAAAATATATATAATATATATATAGAGAGAAAGACCACCATCCATCCAAACGTAAGTTCCACTACATCTGAGCACACCCATTCGCATTGCCATAAAAGAAAAACCAGTTGAACTGTTTTAGGGACACAGGTGGATTGAAAACGACCCCAAGAGCAGAGGGCTGTGTCAGACTGTGTCATTGGACTTTCACCAGCTCGTCATGAGGCTGAATGCCGACCTGGATATATATACGGAAACATATTCATGCAAGGAAGATGAGCATTAGCGAACTTCAGCAATCAAACAGCATCATATACACAAGACCAGATAGTCGTGACCTCGAACCAACAGCAGAATTGCATCACGAGTTTCACCAAATAAGAAGACACCAAGAGCTCAAAATTGACAATGCTGGTAATGTCTCATCATCATCATCAATGAGGAACCAATGTTGATATCCTATCTGGCGCTCGGCGCCCAGACTACAGATGCCCGCTCCTTCCTGCTCGCCCGTGAGAGCGTGAGTGCCAGCCAGCAAATAGCGCAGCAGCGCTTGCGCAGCATGCAGCCAGCACCCGAATGCCGAATGAGGAGGCAGGCCCTTTGCTATCGAAGTGGCCTGCCTGTGTCCAGTCCCAGGAAGCTTCCAGTAGGCCCCGGTAGCCTGAGGCCCAGCACGATCGAGAACAGGCCTGGGGCCTGCGGTAGTTGCATGTGCCCACCTGCCTTTGGCATGTGTTTGGCCCAGTACCCGTATCCAGCCCAGGGCCTGCTTTCCATTCATTCACACAGGCGGCCCAGGGCCTGGGTTTCCTCAACCAAAAGGCGCTGTGCAACTGCCTGAATTTCCTTAGTTGCGCAGAGGCCGAAATAAGGCCTCGTCAAGCCTGCCTTCACTTAGGGCGGCCGACGGCCTGCAAGAGAGGGGCCGAAAGGAGCTCATAGAGGCAGTGGCCTCGCATTCCCTCCTCCTTAGCTTCAACAGTCCTCTGAGAAGCTCAGTCTTCAACCTTCGGGCGCTTTCCTTTCTGCAGAGATTTCTCATAATGAGCTACTACTTGAGGAGCGGTCTGCATAAGTTCTTCCCTCGTGAACCAACGGTCCTCCTTGGGATCAGTATGATGTCGGAACCGAACGTGGTACTGCAGCTTCGGTTTCGGACGACGTCCCCTGCCTGTAGGTCTCTGAACTGGCAGCTCCCTGTGATCCACGATGTCATCAATGTCCACTTCTCCATCCATGGTTGGGGGCAGCATTCAGCGACAAGAAGGAAACTCATCTGTTTCCTTGAAAGGTGCAAGCTTGGAGGCGTGAAAGACAGGGTAAGTTCGGAGATGACCAGGGATCCGGATAACATAAGATGGCCCATCCGGATCTGTCCAAACGATGTCCAAGACTTCCCAAGGTCCAAAGTACTGGAGCATGAGTTTGCGGGAAATCCCATGCTCCTGTCCCAGTTCTGAAGACCTAACCCAGCCTGTCCCCAACCTGAAACGTTGAAGGACGGCAGTGTCTATTTTCAGACTCTATCATTGCAGCCTGTGCCTTCTGCATCTGTTCTACAGCCTGCTGCATCTTCTGTTCATACCGATAAGCAAATTCTAAGGTACCTGGTGCAGCAGTGGACTGATTCTCAGGAAGAAGAAAGTCTAAGGGCAGTCTAGGTGTTACATGCTGCGCCTGCACACGAGGGCCATTTTCCAGGCCCTGTGTCCTTCAGGCTGAAAGCCTGAAATTCAGGCTAAAAGCCTGAAAACCAGGGCCTACAGGCCCCGTGACTGTTCAGCCCGAAAGCCTGAAAACAGGGGCCTGCAGTCCCTGTGTCGCTTCAGACTAAAAATGGCAATAGCCTTTTTAGCCTGAAACGAAGGGCCATTTTCGGTCGTTCATCAGAACGACCGGCCCTGAAACTCAGGCACCGAACCAGGGTTTCGGGAACAGGCTATTCTTAGCCTGTTCCCACGCCAGCCTCAGCAGATGCTGCAGCGCCAGCCCCTGGCACACTTYGGCACTGGCAAGAGCAGCCTCCTCGGCCTGGCTCGCCCTTCAGGCAGTCAGGAGGCAGGCCGAGGTAGTACAGAGGGACTTCCCATGCACTTCACGGGCAGGCAGGAGGCAGTAGTCTTCAGGATTCGGCAGCAGCACTCTGGAGGGAGTGCTGCAGGAGTAGTAGTAGCGTTAGCCTTCAGTCTTCAGCGCTGGGCACAGTAGGTATCTGTAGTCTCCAGCGCTGGGCGCCATAGCTAGGATAGCACTAGAGAGAGAGAGAGATTGGGCGGAGGCCAGAGGTACCTACCTGCAGCGCCGTTGCTCCAGCTTCGTCTTCGAGGTACCTGCATCACAGCGCCAACTTCACAGGTTAGTACCTGGCTCGTAACAGAGAGAGAGAGAGTACTTCTTCTTCCTCTTCTCAGTCCACCATCTCCCTCTCACCCTCTCATCGTCTGACTTCACTGCATCAGCAGACTACGAGAGAAGAGAGAGAGAGCTTGGTGACATTGGATCCAGACTCGA